AGCACTATGTTGAATAGAAGTGGAGATAGTGGGCAACTTGTCTGGTTCCAGTTCTTAGTGGGAATGCTTTCAATTCTTCCCCATTCAGTATGATGTTGGCTGTGGGTTTGTCATATATGGCTTGTATCATTTTTAGGTAAGCCCCGTCTATGCCTATTTTGTTAAGTGTTTTTATCATAAAAGGGTGTTGAATTTTGTCAAATGCTTCTTCTGCATCTATTGAGAGAATCATATGGTTTTTGTTTTTGCTTCTGTTTATGTGGTGAACTATGTTTATAGATTTGCGTATGTTGAACCATATGATGGTTAAGTCTTAACAAATATAATCCATATAAACCAAAGAGGTTTGGGCTCTCAATAATTAAGAGTGTAAAGGGTTCCCGAAAACAATAAGATTGAGAACTGCTGCTAAATACTTTAATCATGGACTTTACACAATGTAAAATAAGAAACAATTGTCCAGCACTTACTTATTTACAAAGTGTTTCCACTCATACCATCTCATCAAACTGTGACAATATTTCTATTAGGTAAGGTTTAATCCTATCACCCCATGTAACTTAAAAAAACTTTCATTAAATTCAGCACATTTGCTTTATTGAGTAGAACAAGAAAATAAAATAACTATAATCCGATGCTAGTCTGTGGCTAATTTTGTATAACAGAAGGAAGTATTATGCTTAAAAAATGTAGCTATATAGATGATTAATTCTTTTAAAATAGTATTAATACTTGCCACATACATTAGAAATCTGGTAAATTCATCATATAAACTCAATGATTCTCCCCATTTTATTTTTTTATCTTTACCATAATTGTACATCCCCATTTTAAATGTGATAATTTAGGGAAATATGATACAGCACTACGCTCCTACCCCTTGTTTAAAACTTTATCCTCATTATAATCCTGAAAGATAAGAAGGAAAGAAACCTAAGACACTTACAGCCTAGAAAAGTAATTTGCTTAACAACAGAGACCCCAAAGCCAGAGTGAGAACTGGTTTTTTAGTTTGCCATCTTTTTATGAAAGCAAGGTGTAGAAATTGAAATTAAATATAAAGAGTTGGCTAAAGGGAATACAGAAAAATAATTCTCTTTTGGTGAGAGAAACAAATTGATTCATATGAAACTAGAAAGAGCTGAGAGAAAGAGAGTGAAATTATGGAAAAGAATAGTTAATCCTATTTCAGAATAAGGAAAAGGCAACTCACTTTTTAAATCCAAAATTTTTCCAGAGCTCACTGATCTTTATTTGCAATCCTGGCTTGTTCTCTGCATTATGGTGGTTTCTCTTCTGGATGCCTGCTGGCTTCTTGCTCAGCCCACTGACTCTGGCAGGTACTAGAGGTTTGATCTTGGTTGTAGAAAGAGAATCCATAGAACTAGATTTGTATAGCCCAGGAACCTGAAGAATAAATGCCCATTTTAAGACCATTCTGTTAAAACAACTACCTTTAGTTAATTTCAAACTATTTTTTATACATTGGAATAGAAAAATAACCCATATGCAATGTGTAAAAATGTGCTATTTATAAATGTCTATTACAAAAGTCATCATAATTATTTTAACAGGTAATAAATATGTGCACCTGGCAGAAAATTTAAGTGTTACAAAAGAATAGGAAGAAAAGTCAATCTCCCCACTCCCTCTCTTTCCAGAGGCAATCACTGTTGTCAGTTTCCTGTGCATCCACTGAATCATTCACACACATACAACTGGTAGCATATTACACTCTACTGCGCACTTTGATTCCACTTAATGATGTATCTTAGAGAATTTTCCATTTCCCAGGGAGAAATGAATTCTATTCTGCACAGGTTGTCTGTTCTTCCATTGTGTAAGTGTGCCATAATTTACTTAAACCTTTACTAACATTTAGGTTGTTTCTAGTGAAGGGTTGATTTTTATCTTGTGGATAGCATGGAGCCATTAAAGTTTTGTTGCTATTTCTTATGGTAGTAAGAATGAAGTCTGTAAAAGAAGGTTTGAAAACTGATGAATTTGGCAGAGGTGTATAAAGAATGGAAAAGTTAAAACAAAATAAGGCTTCACAAAGAAAGATGAAATCCTGAACTAGGGTGTTGGTAACAGGGAAAAAGGGAGAGAGCAAAAAACAAGACAAATAAATGTTAGTCTGGAGAGGTATCGATGTTTGGTTATTTTTCTCTACCTGCTCTTACAGAAGGACCAAGCTGGCAGTTATTTAAAAAAAGGACAACCCTAAGATTTTGACTAGGTGACAAAGAATAATATAATTTTATTTAACAGATAAAAACAAAAATGTTCTGAGAAGAAACGGTTGGAGGTAAAAGAGATGAGTTTGATTTTAGATATTAAAGATGGATAGCAGGGAGTGTTCACCTGGAGAGGCATCAAAACAGAAGTGTCAGTTAAAACCCTGACAATGCAAATCTCTGAGAGCAAGAGTAACTATAAAAAGGTGATGGTTTACTGTCTACACAACTCCTTTTGGGAAAGCACTTTCTACATCTATAGTCCTATCCCATTGCTGCCAATAACTTTGTAAGTATCTCTCCAGACTTTTTATTACGATTGTATAAATATACAAATGTGTGCATGAATATTTTTAAGTATTTAAACCAAAACACCATGCTATACATATTTTTAATAACATTTTACCTTTTCATTCAAAAATAATATCGATATCTTTCCAAGTCAGTATATGTTTGCAAAAGCCTTCTCAGAGATTTAAAAAATAATCTCATATTTACATATTTTACATTTACATCTTTAACATATTGGAATTTGCCATAGACTGCATGTTGTGTCCTCCAGCCCCCAAAATTCATATTGAAGCCCTAACCCTCAATGTGATGGTATCTGGAGATGGGACATTTGGGAGGCAACTAGGTCATGAAGGTGTAGCCCTCATGAATGACATTAGTGCCCTTATAAGAGACTTGAAAGAGATGACATATCTCACTTTACCACGTGAGGACATAGCAAGAAGACAGCCAACTGCAAACCGGAAAGTGGGCCCTCCACCAGACACTGAATCAGCCAGTGCCTAGATCTTGGACTTCCCAGTCTCCAGAAATAAGTTTGTTGTTTAAGCCACCGAGTTTATGGTACTTAGTTATAGCAGCCTATATCAACTAAGACAGAATTTATTTTTATATTATGTGAGATAAAGATCATCTTTTCAATGGATATGCAGACCATTTATTGAAATTTTTGAGTTTTTATGCTACTAGAAAAATAATATATGCTCACTGTAGAAAAACATAAGAACAGAAAAAGGTTCATTTGTATTTCTACCACTCAAGAGCTAAAACCAGAATAATTTTTAATAACTCACTCCCTTATTATTGAGATTATTTCCAATTTTTCACTATTATAACCAATGTAGTTTTAAGTGTTTTTGTACTTAAATTCTCAATGTTTCCTTAGGCTCAGGGTCTAGAATGCACTTACTGGTTTAAATTATTTGAACTTTCAAATTGCTTTCCAGAAATGGCAGACCAATCCTCACTTTCTTAAATATGTGACTATTCATCTCACTATACTCTTATTTAAAAAATGAATATAATTAAAAACATTTTTTTTGAAATATGAAGAGGTAAGAAGTTGTATTTTATTATCTTAATTGCCATTATTTGATTACTAATGAGGTTTAACATGCTTTATGTATTAATCAATCACTTGTACTTTTTCTTTTGTGATCTCTGTTCACGGACCTTATCCATTTTTTAAGTTAGGGATTAGTTTTTTTACATTGATAGGTAAGAACACTTCATTATAAAATATGCTTTAAATTGTGAACTTTCACTACATAGTAATACAAATATTTACATATCTGATTAAAAAAACCTGACTTATCATAGAAACTTATCCCAGTTTCTAGAAGGCCTTTGGCAATACATATCAAAGTTAAATCATACATGCTTTGGGACCAGTAATACCACTCCATGGAATTCATCCCTACAAATTATTCAAGAATATGCCCTCAAATATTTACCCATAAGATCTTGGTGGTAGCTGCTACTTGCTAAAGCAAAAAATTTTTAGGGTAAATGACAAAAATAAGGGGATTAGCTAAATCCATACAGTGGCATATTATATAGTCATTGCCAAGTAATGACTACCTAAGTACTTAAAGAACTTTATACTGCAAGAGAAAATAAGTTTTACAACTTAAACACTTACAGTCAAACACAAACATGGTTCTAGGAAGTTTGAAAATAGATATTTTTGTATAAATGAGAATACAGGCATTTTAATTTTTAATTTTGCTTATATTTCTCATTTTCTAATAATAATTATGCATTGCTTCTGAAATTAAAAAAAATTAAAGTGTTTTACCTTGTTCCTTAGAATTGAATCTTTTCTTGAAAAATGAGATAAATGTAGCTTGGAGGCCTGATTACCTTGATTATCTGGTGATTTAATAGTACAATCAGATTCCTAGATCCCCCAAATCAAAAGAAAAAATAAAATTAGATTTTTACTATAGAATTTTTACAACAAAACAATATTCAACAAAATGGAAAATAAGTAAAAACATACGATAGAATTAATAAAAGAAAAGGAATCTAATATAGAAAGGATAATGTTTTCCAGTTTTACTGAAGAAGCCAGCAAGATGTTTCAGCCGGAGAAGTAAATTGTTGAGTCAGTCAAGCTCCACATCTCTTTTAATTGTCTAACATGTTCAACTTTAAAGAGAAAAATGGCATCTACTTTCAAGAAATGGAGTAGTATTGTAGCAAATGCACTTTTACCTTTAGCAATGACTTTAAGAGCTACCCTCTGCCTCTAACTCCATTAGATAAGGTTTTTCTATAGATGGAGAGTTCTCTTATAATCTGTATTCCCATGAAAGTCAAATACAAAAGGACAATGAACAGAAATTCAGAAAACTTCATACTTCTGCATTTTTTCCAATAGTTTTCTCTTTTTTTAATATTTATCTTGGGATTCTACCCAGTTAGGGGTGGGGAACCTGCAGCCTTGGGGCCACATGTGGCCTTCTGGATCCTTGAGTGAGGCCTTTGGACTGAATCCAAATTTTACAGAATAAATCCTTTTAGGGATTTGTCCTGTGAAGTTTGGATTCAGTCGAGGGGCTGCACTCAAGGATCCAGAAGGCCCAAAAGGAGCTCAGAAGACTTAATATCCTCACAAATAGACAGTGATGTTTTTATGAAAGATGTTCAAGAGCTAGCGACTGTGGTGGTACCCAAATGGCACCAAGAAAAAATGTAGTATGAGGTGAAAAATAAAAAAGATAACACTAAAATAAAGCTTCATAGTAAAAGAAATAAGTGTTCTAGACCAGTAGGAACAGTACTCGGTATGGATGAACTGAAGGCCAAGCAAGAGAAAGGGAAAAGAAAAGCAAGTATCAAGGGCAGCTAAGGGTTTGGCTCAGCACACTCCTAAAAAGGTAAAAAATGCCACATGGGACCAACTTTGGGTTTAAATATATAAAATGATTTCAGCTTTCTCCAAGTGAAAACAACTTATTTCCACATTTTAACTTGGCTTTTTTCTTCAATTTGAGTCCAATTCAACTCAAGTTTCCTTTGGGAACTTGGATGAAATATTTTCTTTTTGATAAATACAAGCTATACTGATTTATTAGATGCTGTTCAATATTTGGGATTATCAGACATGAAAGTCCTGTCAAATATTACTGTGGTTATAATCGTTCTTACAACTTGGTAATTATAGTTGGTAAAGATAAAGTACATTATGTTGGTACATTTCAGATAACTTATATTTAAAGAAAGCTATTACGCCACCATGTCATTTTTAAATATGTTACTGAAATCTTATGAGCAGTACAGCTGTGCGCTGCATAACAATATTTTGGTCAAAAATGGACCGCAGATATAGCGCTAGTCCTGCAAGATTATAACATATTTTTACTGTGCCTTTCTATGCTTAGGTACACAAATACTTACCACTGTGTTACACTGGCCTACAGTATTCAGCAAAGTAATACGCTATACGGGTTTGTAGCCTAGGAGCAATAGGCTATACCCTATGTCCCACGATGATGGAATCACCTGATGACACATTTCCCAGATTGTATCCCTGTTTTTAAGTGGTACATGACTGTGCTTATTTGGAGTTCTGATTTTATGTCAGAATAAAATATATTTTATTTGGGAGCAAAAAGTGGTTAAGATGCTTTTATTAATTTAAAACAGAATAACATAAAATCACTTGTATTACTACTTCGTTTTGTAGTTTAGCGGGAATAAGAAGAGTAACTGAAAATGTATTTCTGAAGTCCTAAAACTTAAGACAGATGCCATCACATTAATAGAGCCATTTCCTTAAAAGGTTTCAAATGTTATCTGAATTTAAGAGTATATTAAGGATTTAAACAGTAAATTTATAATAATTTTTCATTTCATAGATTATCTTGCTGCTTAGGTCTTATAACTTGAGACACATATTAATGGAATGCAGTGATTCAGGAAGTATAGAGTTAGATAAAATGTAGAGGAGTTTAAAATATGAAAGAGAGAAGTCATTCAAATGCATAAAATGTGAATTTTTCTACACAGGATTTAGAATGAAAAATTAAGACAGCTAGTCATTTCCATAATATAGCCAAGATTTCCTCCATTACCTGTTTAACACCCTATTTTCTTTTACATATGAATTTAAAAACAAAGTCTTCATAGTTTGACTTACCTCTGAATCAGAATCCTTACTAGAAGACTGAGAAAGTTTTGACGCGTTTAAGCTGTGCAGTGATAATTCTACATTTCCCTGGGACTGTGAAAACCCTGCTTCATGTAAGGGATAAGATTCATCCCCTGACTCATCACTCTTTAGCTGAGATATATCAGACATGCTACTCTCAGGAAGAGAGGTGGGGGAATCACTTTTTCTTCGGAACTGCTGCAATGCTGTGCTTGCAGAGGGGCTCGGAGTTCTTGGAAAATCTCCAAGACCTCCAGACCAACTAAAACAACTTTGTAGTGTCCCTAAAGTGGGTGGTGAAATGGTCCTTGTGAAGTTGCTGGTCTTAAAAGACTGAGAGTCTTCATCAGTAAACACTGTTCCATTATCTGGAATCTGATCACTTGAATCATGTACTACATTTGTGTCAACCAGCTTCTTGCCTTCTAGGTCTAGGTGATCTGATTCATTTAGGTTGGTCTCTTTATCCTTGAGGGCAGTTTCATCTAGAGGCTGGTTGCTCACTTTCTCTGATACACAGTCAGCAGAATCCAGAGAACTGCAAAAAAATCTAATAGAAAGAATGGGTAAGTATTTTAGAGTTTTCTCAAAAGGGTGTCGAGATTCAAAATAGAATGGTCTGGTTTCTTTTAAAAAAAGTCTCATAAATGTATAATTTCACAAATAAAGTCATAAAGATCTTAAATTTTATTCATAGTTTAAATTTTGATTATGCCAAAATTCACACATTTAAAAATTTATTTACACGATGAATATTTAGACAGGACTTTCTAAAAGTCATTATCCATATACATATGTATCTCCTTGCATCAAATCTGGGAACTTGTCGTACTACACTAATCTACCAGTTTGTTACATACCCTATAAACTTCTATACTATTATAAATATTCAGGTTAAGACTTTCAAATCAATCATTAAATTCTATATTACTAAAGAGGTATTACTCACTCAGTGTAGCAACTTAAAAAAATGCTTATAAATACTCCAATAAAAATGAAAGAAAGATCAGTATTATTATTGAGGACTTATTCAAGGGGCATTTTCAGGTTCAAAAGGGAAATCCTGGAGTACATGATCAGATAAATATGAAATTTAATAAGAATTTACCTCCTTAATAAGCATTAGTTCAAATCCAAGATGATGAACAGAACATTTACTAAATGCTAGAGAATAAAAATCCATTCTATCCTTTCATCAAATCCCTAGACAAGCTGGGTGGGCACAGGGCAGGAAGCAGTACGTGGAAGAAAAGCTCTTATTAGGCTTTTCGTTAAACAGAAAACATAAGCTCCAAGATCTAATCACAAATTCCTTTTTAAATAAACAGTAATTCTTATGATGTCCAATTATTCTGGCATGTATTATCTTATGGGTAGAGAGAAGTTATAGTGACAATGCACAGGGTTATACAATTAATTAGCTAGAGAACAGAATTAAAAATCAGAACTCTTCCCAATGCATGGCTGTTCTTTCTAATTAGCCTATAAAATTACTTAACTGATATTCTATTTCCAGATCTCAAAAATTAAACTGGCATATTTCTAGGATAATTATCTTCAAAATAAAGATAATTAAGACTTAAAACAGGCTTCCAAAAAAGCAGACAGATTGGAGACAACTTTAAACATGTTTAAAACCTCCTTTTAGTTGTATTATATGAACAAGAAATGGGTGTTAATGAATGTTTGCATGTATATTGACTAGGCCAGGTGCTTGATATACGGAGCTTGTAGTAACCTTCACGACAGCCTCATGTATATGATCATCCATATTTTATAAATAAATAGGCTCAGGGAAGTTAAACGGTGTGTGAAAGATCACTCAACTAATAAGATGACGGAGTGAGAATTCAAATCCAGGCCTGTCCGATTGTGTGCTGCTTTCAATCCATCACTTCAACTATGACTAGGAATCTCTCTTACCACCGGTACTAACTATACAACCCTGGGAGTTCAAACTCTCAGAGCCTCAATCTCTTAACCCCAACTAGTGACAATAACACCAACCCTGGGTATCTCTTAATATTGTTGTAATAAAAGAATATTGAAAAATTAAAATTTGAAAATTAACTTTGAAAACTAATTTGATAATATCTAGTTACTATTAGATGTTGCTATGTATATAACCCAGGTCAGAAAATTATACATCGAAGACTTATTTCCAATCATTAATCCAGAGGAAGCTGATTGAGGAAAAAGAATTATTTCTTTAGGTATCTCTTAATGTACCCTCTGAACAATTTACTAGTGAAACATTTAAACTACATAAAGCAGCCATGTATAGCCTCAAATTTGAAGATTTCCTTAAGCTTCTAAAATGCCTAAATAGGTAAGTCCTGTAGACATACACAAATGCTATTCTCATTAGTTGTCTCCAAAGAGTTCAACACTAAGCAGCAGAAAAGAGAAAGTATTCTCATTTAAGTGGAAAAATGAAACCAAGTTCCAAAACTTTCTCCAAGTAAGACAAGTCAACTTTCAAAACTTTTTAATCAGTAAATATCAGTTAGAGTCCAGTTTTCCATCTTTTGCAGTCTACTTTTTCATCATTCCACAAGCACCTTTAATGAGGGTTGACTAGCAAAAGAAGAATCAAAATAATCATTGTATTGTATTGTGACTGTTTTCTTGAGAAGACTCAGTGAAAGAAGTGTTTGAAACAGCACCTAGAGTGAGGCTAAGGTATTCCCAGTGGTTTACTCCTTCATGCCCATCTCCCACTATCACGGTTATACAAAACAATACTCATTCTAAGTCTTCCAGAGGAATCCAGGAGCTGGCAAATTTTCTCTTTTTTAGAGTTACGATAGCATGCCCAGATAACTTCTGACACTTACATTTCCTTTTTCAGATTGTGGTATCATCATCCAAAGTTAACAAAATAAAAGTTTTTCATTGTATGTTTATCAGCTATCAGGCACTGTCCTAGGCACTTTATGGACAGTAACTCATTTAATTCTCTCATCAACGCTGAAGTTCTTACAATTGTTAGCCCCAATTTTTTTTTTTTTTTTTTTGAGACAGAGTCTGGCTCTGTTGCCCTGGCTAGAGTGAGTGCCGTGGCGTCATCCTAGCTCACAGCAACCTCAAACTCCTGGGCTCAAGCGATCCTCTTGCCTCAGC